CCCTCCTCCCCGGGGCTCCCCTTCCTGTCCTCCTCCTCCTCCCTCCCTCCCAGCCGCCGGCCTCCGCTCCCGGTGCGCGCCCCTTCACCGTCAGGCCTGTGCTGGCCTCTCCACTCTGCCCGCACCAGCTTTCTGTCTCCATGAGCTCACCGCCCTGGCTGACGGCGGGTTCGATCCCTGCCTGCGTCTCCGCCCTCACCGTCCCCGGCTAACACTGAGGGCAGGCTGCCTCCCGCGCTCCCTGCTGTGCCTCCGGGGCCTACACGCAGTGTAGATACTTTTAATGAATTTAAACGACCGAGTCTCAATGAGGAAGAAAAAAGAAATTCATTTGAAAACATTTTTCCATTTTCTAATTTAATAGAAATAACCAAAAACAATGTGGCTTTCAAACAAGGTTTAAACTAATCTAATACAACACATTCCAGGGCATTATAACAAGGAATATTTACAGGCAGCTACTGTATTAAATAACCAGGAAAAGAAAATCCTGCTTTTATTACACACCAGCAAAACACAGGAACGGAACAACTAGAAACTGCAGCCTTGTTTTAAAAAATTAAATATGATTATTTAGAGAATACAATACCACAGAAACAGCACTTTTCCTTTAGGAATCATACCAAAGGGTAGGTAACTATGTGCAAAAAGAATAGAAGTTGTGGGAGGAGGGATAGGATGAGGGGAGGACCCCAGTGGGAACACCGGAAGCTAGGAACCAGGAAGGCTGTGAGTTTAACCCTTTCGTGTGTCAGCATTTCTACACAGGAAATTAACAGGCTTTCAGATTGCACAAATCTTTTCTCAGAGGTTTATGTACATCTGTCGCTGTGATTTAAAACATAATAAATGCCTACATTTTTCAGACCAGGAGCAGACATGCGTTTCATTGAGATTTAGGTCACGCTTGAAAGGGAATATTGCAGTGGCACTTAGAAAATTATTCTGTGCCTTCCCCCATACAAATTTGGTGAATTTAAAAGAACAGCACTTTTCATTGTAAAGATCACTTGCTAGAAAAGGGCTAAACTTCATTTGTACATTTTGTAGTTTATGACAAATATCCAAATGGATTTATTTTTTAGGATAATTGTTTCTCCGATACAATAAAATATATATATATAAAAGACCACAAAGGCAAACACAAGGAACTAAGACTGAAGAAATGCTACACATGCATTTTGACCAAGTAAAAGAAACCCTATATCCCAGAGTAACATGTTGAAATCTGAAATGTCTATGTAAACTGAGGCATATAAATTTTTCTTAAAAAAGTACCTTCAATTTTTTTACTCAAACCCCTACTTTTAAAAAAATATGCAACTTTCTCCAATTTTTAAAATAAAATGCCACAATATATTGTCATTAGCTCCAGCATACTCTTTTCTTCATTTTTAAAAGATAGACTGGGTGATATGCATACAAACTTTCCTATGAAGTCACGTCCGGGAGAGGGTTATGGCGTGCTGAGGCAGCAGACAGAAAGCGTGTTATTGCTTTGTCAGGGAGGAAAGGACCATGAGGAGACCATCCGGGTCCAGCACGTGATCAAACTGGGATGCCCCTTGGAAACCGTGGCTCACCTTCAGCGGATTACTGACACGGATGGTAGGAGCGAAGAGCTGATTGTTTCACTTAGGAGAGATGGGGTAGGTAGATTTTATAAAGCTGCTCACTGACCTAATGCTCATTATGCAAATAACCAGTGCTAGCAAGAAGTGAGACTTTCATACCTCATTTGTTGGGAGTGGAAGTAGGTAAGGGTGTCTGGACAGTGTGGCTCAGTGGATTGGGCATAGTGCCGTGCACCAAGAGATCTCGGATTCCTGCCCAGGTTGCAGGCTCGATCCCCAGTAGGGGGCGTGCAAGAAGCAACCAATACATTATTCTCTCTCATCATTGATATTTCTCTCTCCTTCCCTCTCCCTTCCTTCCTTCCTTTCTACAAAATCAATAAAAACATTTTTTTAAGGTAAAGTGAGAGGGAGCCACAGCATCTACTCCCATTTTGGACACTAAGAGACTGTTTAATAACATAGGGTAGGCCATAATCCAAGGGTACAGTCAGAAGACCTAAATCTTTTAACTTATTAACACTAATCGCTAATAATTACATGGCAGGATGCCTGCTGAGGTAATTGATAAATCTACAGATTGCACACTATAAATCCTTTGCTTCTATTTAAAAACATTGTTTCTTTGGATTAATGAAAAATTTACAACAAAAAGAATTAACTGACTTTAAATTTTAAAATTCCCTTACATAAGAAACAGAGTCAGAAAGTACCTTGTTGATTCCAAAATGGGTAATTGCAACAACGGCTCCAATGCCTGGTCACTGCTCTAGGCCAGGTTTGCCATCCCATAGAGCATGGCCTGCATGTAAGGATGTGGACACACACGCACGTTGTACAGCATTTCCTTCAGGGAACCAGCTCAGCGTTACAATATACAAATGCGGACCAGCGGCACAGACTAAGGAACGCTTTATTCTTGGTGTTCTCATAGCAGAAATGTGGCGAGAGCTTTGCAAGCTTTTAAGGAAACATTAACATCTCCAAATCTAAAATATTGCCTTTCAAGGAGGAATACAAATGCTAGAGTATAAAAACAAACAGGAACTGATATACAATGTTTGGTGTTTATCTTTTTAAAACATAATAGGAAATCGTGTAAAAATTCCAAGTTAATACTTTTGGACAGTTATATTAGTGCACAGATCAGCTTAGAAACAGTGATCTGTGTGCAAAAAAAAAGCAGCTTTAAATGAAATCTAAAATGAACAGCTTCCTTCAATGGTGGCTTGTTAACAGAAACGGAGCCGATTGATTAAATGTTGACACAGTGGCTCTTTAAGAACCAATCCTAAAACAAAGGGCCAAAGCCCATCTGACACGGTCACACCTTTAAGGGACACGTTATCTTTTAAGGCCCAAGTACTGAGATATAAATACTTACTAAAATGTTGTTTCTTCTGCCATTGTAGAAAGTATTTATGACTTACTATCTAGTAATAGTGAAAGAGAGCAAACAAAAATGTGCCTTAGGTATGACTCCTGATAATGAAATCACAAATATTATATATAGGGAAGAGGGAAATAAGCACAGATAAAAGCGTTTTTAAACAATATTCTCCCTCTTACCAGAAAACTGTTCTATAAAATTTGAGCAAAATGAGTTTGGAATATGTTTTTTAAGTTTACAACAAAACTGAGAGAGAAGCTAGAGGATGAAATTAGTCAATAGCAACGATAAAATCAATCCCATCAGAAGGTTGGATTCATAGTCACGTTTATCCCCACCACTTAAGAAAAGAAAAACCCGAAAGAGTTTGCATAATAAGTTCTTTAAAACACTTTATTTTATTCAATATGCACTAAAAAATATTTACCTCTTAGACAATCATGTCAAGATAATTTTTTCTGAGTAACCTGTCTGAACTGCTTAAGCTGGATTTTTTTTAAAAGGCAAACGATTTGCCACAAATCTGCCGATGTTTGAAAATATCTACTGGAGGGTCTTCTATTTTGGTCACTTTGTATTCTAATGTGTCCATACAAAAACAGGACTAACATTTTTAATCCAACTAAAGAGAAACCTGTGTACAGTCTAGACACGCATCTGGGGCACGAGCATCATAAATGAGGAGGAGAAAAATGAAACAGCCAGTGGCTTCTCTGCCTCGGAGCTGAAATCGGGGGTCAGGTGGGTTTCTCCAGGACCATTCAAGTGGGGGTTGGCTCATTTCCAGGATTTACTTACAAGTCTCTTCTCTGTCCTTTAGGCCCAGTCCATGCAATGTCCCACTTGGTGGACAGATGAGTAATCTAACCCCACCGGGTTTATTTCAATAGTTTGATATTTTAATAAGCTGCTTCTGAAGATTTTCTGAGAAGTCTGTTCTCTATTAAAATAAGATAGAACCTCAAAATATGAATGTGAACATTAGAAATAGACAGCATATATTACAAATCCATTCTTGATAGGAACATTAGTAAAGAATACACATTAGCTTAAAAAAACAGGCTCAGCAAATGTTGCTGATCTGCCAGGAGTTTTAGTTCACTATTTACAAATAAGACAACGTGAAATACAGAAAATCTTACACATTTGGTAGCTGACAGATTACTGTTTGCCAATAGTGGTCTATCAGAAAGCTGACATGAAGGAAGACTGGTAACAGCCAGTTATCCCCTTTCAGTCAAATCTAACACTCAAAAAAACTAGTCAATGGTCAACATTCTGCCTTCTTGGGAATAACTAGGATCCGATGATTTGGTTGAGAGGTGCAACTTGTGGACGTGTTTTTTGGGAATGATTAATTATGTGATCTCCTACTGAAAAGTTACTGTATTTATTTCAGTACACCGTTAAAGTTGATTAAATAATGATCAATGGTCATGTTTCCTAGACTCCAAGTATGAACAAAAAAATACTGTTGAGTTCTTTAAACCAATATAGAAACCAAGGCCCAACAGCATCAAAGTGAGAAAAAACGTAAGTGTATGATTCAATGCACATCTGTATTGACATAAAAAATGTCAACTTTCACTAGAAAACAAGCCATTGTGTGTGTGTGTGTGTGTGTGTGTGTGTGTGTGTGTGTGTGTGTAGGGGGAGGCATCAGAGTTGTTTAACAGCTGTCCGCTGTGGTCCACAGAGACGGTTTGTCAAGTGACATAACCCTCCAGTATTAACTTATACATCCAGCATCCTGCACCAATCAATCAATACCACATAATCATCTGCCAATTCTAACAGAACTCTTCTCTTTAGTAACAGAAATCTTCCGAGTATTTCACTTTTGCTTTTAGTTTTTACTTTCAATGGTGCAGAGTTCCTCCCCTTCTTGGCAGGAGCGTGGTTTCTGTCCGCTGTTTCCGCTAACACTGTGTGAAGCTCTGTTTCTTCAAGGAGGCGCCCCCATGGTAGGCAGACTTTCAGGCAACACTTACAAGTGTGTGTGCTCTCTGTTTAAACAATCGGTTTAAGTCGTGTCTTTACTTTATATGTATCGGTCTGTCCTCTGACTTTAGGCGTTTCCTGCGCGGCTGAATAAAGTCTTCGTCAGAGTCCTCCGTCACCTCCCCGTCATCCTCTTCCTGCTCAAACTCGGGCAGAGGTGCGAAGGTCCTGTCTGAGTAGATCTCTGCGAGTTTGTCTTCAAAGTACAACGCGACTGCTTTCCCTGCCTGAGCTACCTCTGAATCAGCCTGCAAGCAAAAGACAGGATAGTCACCTCTGGGAATGCATATTCCTTCACCAAGTGTGCATGGTCTGAAAAGCTTACCTTCAAATTAATCTCTTGTGTTTCTGCATAAACTTGAACAACTCTCATCATCTAAAAAGGATACCAGAGTCAAAAAAAAAAAAAGGGAAATTATAAATCCTTTCTAAAATTATTAAACTGCATAGGATTGGCGACAAGAGTCAGCCGTACTAGGGTGTCAGGTTATAAGTGCGATGACCAGACCATAAGTGCTTCCTAAACTTTTACAGAACATGGACCACTTTCCTTACAAAGTTCTAGACTAAAGCTACTGAGACCTCAATAATTATTGTCGCAAATTCTGAATTTCTTCAAGGAGGTGCCAACCTAAATAGAAACTGGTCAGAATATATCAATCTATTTAAGAGAAATATATCTGTGAAATGAATAATGTGAGAAATGTTGCTTTTAAAAATTTGCCAAACTTTCAACAAATCACTAAATCAGAATACCATCTATCCGGCAATTTGTTAACCATAAATTGTTTAACTATTGGTAAAGCAGAAAAAAAATGGGCCTTCTTCCTCGCAAATGATAGCTATAGCTCATGAAAGCATATTTATTTAAAATAACCTAAGTGCATTAGAAAACAAGACAAAAACTTGGGACTGTATTAATGTTACTTTGAGTGAAGTTTTACTGTTCTCTGTGGCATACTGCTATTGAGGTGACTAGACTTTTCACCTAGTAAGAACTTTTGAAAATTTTTTACAGTCACCTAGATGCTTCCAGAAGCAGCTATGAGTACATTTTAATAGAGTCAACGTGATTTATTTTAGTGATAGTCACATGGCACCCAATTTTTACCAGTAATAAAGATGAGACTTTAGTAATAAAGTAATCCTTTTTTAAAGATTTTATGAATTCTCATCCAATTCCATTTTCTCTTCCTGTAATAATGAAAAATTTCCTTAACAATAGACTTGACTTTCCCCAAAGATAACCAAAATTATTTCCTTAAGGGAGGTATACATATATATATCACATTTCTTTTCAAGATATGGATAACAAATTCTTATCCTCATAAAAATACAAAGCCGTTAATGAAAGTCACATTCTGAGATCCAAAAACTCAACATATATACTCTGGGCTACTATTCAAAATGAGCCACCAGAGGGTTGTTGGTGATTTTAAGGTTCTACATTTATGTGGTCAATAATAAAATCAAAGGACACTGTTACAAATGTCTTTCCTCAATGTATCCAAAATTTAGGCGTTTATAAGTTTCCCACAAAACTTACTTAACTGGAGACTACTTTCTACACATATCTTAATCCTCAACTTGTTCAAAAAGGGATATTTAATAACATTCCTGATTTATTATGTTTAAATATATACTTCAAATCATACACAATAAACTTTCTTCTTTTGAGCTATAAATGACAATTTTACTCTTGACAAGAAGTGAAGCAGAAAAAGAAATTTTAAATCCAATTAGAAAAATCACTTAGCAGGTAAAGCAAAATCCAAACAATAAAACAAACAAATAAAACTAATAATCCAAGACCATTTGGAAGCGAACATACTTCGTTAAACCTTTCACAGTTCTTGAAGATGAGACGCACGTCAGCCACAAAGTCATCGGGCACCTGGTAGTGTTGGGAATGCTTTTTCTGAAGCTTCTTCTTCACGGTCGATAAGTCCATTGGTTTCTTTATAATTTTATAGTAGTTTGGTATCTAAAAGAGCAAATAAATACAGCTAGATAAGGATTCTCTCAAATGCCAAACTACTTTTGATTTGAAAATCCATAGCATAATTAATTTCAGGGGGAAAATGTACTGACTAATGAGCCAGCTACTCGAAATTTTTGGGTACAATTTTATCATGAAAATCAAATAATGTTCATAGTATGTGGCAGTAACCATGTTATGAAGGCCCCAAAGTTCTATCTTTAAGAAGTAAATTTGGAAAGAAAGCAAATAGTAATGAGAGCCAATCACTAATGTTAAAGATACATCAAGCTCATTAGAATTTCATGATTCCTGAAGAGGTTATTTTAAATAGGAAGGGAAATAAATGGTTACAAAAGTTATTGTTATTATTAGAATATGATATCTTTTAGAGGACATAACTTTCTGTCTGGACACAGCAACAAAGGAAGAAAGACTGGAATAACACCAGCCCCGGCGAGAAAAAGTTTTTGTTAACCATTTAGTGATCGTTCTGGGAAGTTCTGGCTCCGACCCTTGGCCAAAAGTTTGTATGAGCATAGAGAAGCTTTTGCAATGGTTCATGAAAAATAATTTGAAAGTCACTTTCCACCATAAAGTCCCTGAACTTAATTAAAGACAAGACAGACTTCCTAATATCAGATGATTACTATTTGCACAAAACATATTCCTTGTGTCTAGACCTTCTGTGCTGTAAAGTTCCTTTCTGAACCTATTCCGTACACAAGTCTGCTCCTCAGTACTGCACAGCACATCTGGTATTCAGTAACATCTTAACTCAGTGAATGCTGGCCACAAATAAAGGATGTGGCAGTCTCAGGCCATTTATGACGAGCTAAGCACCTCTGTGTTCCGTTTGCTGCGGGACTTCGGAGGTTTCATTCCTAACTAATGTCCCCTTTAAGTTAAACAAAGAATATTGGCTTGCAAAAATTCCCAATCTTTTCTTAATCTTGACTTTTCATAAAAGAGGGTTTATAAAGGCAGAGCCAGTATAAAAGATTCAATTTTACACGTTTATTCAAATACTTAGTTTTCTCCCCAACATACAGAACCTAGAATCATAGAACTAGAATCTTAGAAATAACCTAGTCCAATATTCCCATTGCACAGTTTAAAAAGTAAAGGCAAGAATATATGGAATTTCCCAGTTATAAAGAGAAGTTGCCTCTAACTTCTGGGTTCAAGATTATTTCCATTATACCTATCACCCCTTGCCGTAAAGGCAATAGAGGGCACGGGAATTAAATTCACTACATCTCCATCAGAGCAACAAAATCTGTAAAAAACAAACTCCACTTTTACCAAGTGGATCTCATATCCACTTGGCCCTACTAAAATTTCTGATTAATAATAAATATTTAAAATGCTATTAGGTCTGATGCTAAAACATGTTACACAGGTCACCACAGATATATACCCCTGAAAGAACCCAATGAGGGAAGAACAGTGTTAGGAAAGAGCTTGAGCCTAGGAGAGGTTGAGAGATTCTTCAAGAAGCTGGAGTGTTAACAGATGGATCCTCACCAGGGTGGTATGAAGGAAAACAACTCACCGAAGCAGGAACTGGCTCCTGGAATTCAATACTTAACTCGTGACAATAGAGGTAAAGCAGAAGACGTTCACATTTCTGCCCAAAGAGAAAAGAAACCCCTTAGTAAGTTGTTTTTTGTTTTTTTTGCCTAATAAGCCCTGGAGAATAAGGACTTGAGCATTATAAAGCACTAGAGGCCCGGTGCACATGAGCTGCGCCCTCGGGGACCCCCCCCCCCCCCCCCCCCCCGCTTGCGTCCCGCCCTAAGCCGGCAGTCGGACATCCTTAGTGCGCAGTGGAGGCGGGAGCTCGCCAGCAGGCTTCGGGGCTTCTGGCTGAGCAGGGCCCCCCTGTGGAAGTGCACTGACCACCAGGGGCAGCTCCTGTGTTAAGCCGTCTGCCTCCTGGTGGTCAGTGCGACTTGCATGTTACCCTTTTATTATATAGGATTATTACTATTTGCTCTCCAATAAACATAAGCCCAAAGAAAGCCGCTTCGTTTCCCGTTTAATTTTGAAACTATCTTCTGTTCTACTTTAAATCACTTATCAGACACAGTGCTTTTGTTCTTATCTGATAACAAAGGTAATTTATCTACTATTAATGCAACTATTTATACACATATAGCATTTTGTACAATAATTTATAGATTACTTGGTAATCTATAAATTACTGCTCTTGCTACTTAAGTTGTAATCCACTGTGGCAGGCCAGACATGTTTTTATTTCCTTTCTTGAAATTATTCCACTTAGGTTCAAAATTATATAAAAACTATCTGTGTCTTCTCAACCCAACTCTAGAATATTTTTTTAAATATATTTTATTGAGTTTTTACAGAGAGGAAGAGAGAGGGATAGAGAGTTAGAAACATCGATGAGAGAGAATCATCGGTCAGCTGCCTCTTACATATCCCCCACTGGGGATGTGCCCACAACCAAGATACATGCCCTTGACCGGAATTGAACCTGAGACCCTTGAGACCATAGGCCAACGCTCTATCCACTAAGCCAAACCAGTAAGGGGCAAAAGGTATTTTCCTATGAAGACCAGACTATGGACTACATGAGCAGAAATCCGACTAAAGCGAGGAAGAGGATTTTAACTCCATTTTTAATATAATGAGAAGCTACTAAGGGATGTTAAGCAAGGGAGTGATAGCCTTGCTTACATGTTTAAAAAGAATGCCATGGACATACAGAAAATGATCTCTGAGGGGCAGGGGTAGAATCGGGGAGTCCAGTGAAGAGATTATTATAGCATTGCAGATGACAGACTATGATGGCTAGCTCATAAAGTAATGATTAGGGGAATGAGAACATAATATAAGTCACTCCTGATTCTTTTATTTCTCACAAATTTCTGGCTTGAGCAGCCAGAGATAATGGTAATATCATACTGGGTGAGAAGTACAGTTTTTTATGTTGTTATTTGCTTATTTATTGCTTTTGCTTTTTAAAGAAGAGAATTAAAAATGGAGATTTTGGTTGAGGCATGTTAAGTATGAGAAAACTGGGTGTAAGAGCCTAAAGCAGAGGGCTAGAGATAACGATTTCAGAAGTCATCAATATATCATCAGAAAATGAAAATGTATCAGGTCACATGTATATTATACTTAAAAAATGTACAGCCAGACAACTACAGAAACTCTAGTAATACATCAACGTATTTCACACTCACCCTTTGGTCCACAGGGCTTAACCCCTGTGCCGTTTTCCCCTTCTTACTGTGCTGCAAATTGTCGCAATCATATTCAACCTCTGGCTTCCCAATATCTCTGCAAAACGTACAGATCCAGTCCCCACTGAAGAGGAAAACAGGCAATTAGTCCATATAATGACGACAAAACCCACTCTCACGAAGCTAAGTCCCTGGAGGTTAAGACTCTAATTTGTTTTTCTCTCTCTTCTTCTTTTTTTTTTTTTTTTTTTCATAAAGTGGAATTGTATAATAAAACCTTCCCAAAATTTTCCCAATCACTCTTCAACTGATTACCTTCTGGAAAGCAATATAAAACCAATATCTATACTTTATCATTAATGCTGCAGCACTTACATCTTGGACATTTTATTGTTAAGCTGAGTCTCTCTAGAAGGTAACACCAAAGGCCCGTCTTACCATGTATGCACTGGTGAACGAAGGATGCCTGCCCTAACTTTGTGGTGTTTTTTTTTTTTCTTATACAAGTAAACAACAAAAAGTCAATTCTCTCATGGGTACCTTGGAAAGCTAAGAAGTGTTGGAACATGACAAGTCAGATGGAAGACCTTGGGGCATTTCTCACAGCACAGGAGATCCCCTCCGTTCTGGCAGACAGCACACCAGTCCTCATTCGGGTCGTCGTCTTTGCTGTTGCCATCTCCTCCCATCCTTGCCGACCTGTGCATGAGGCTTCGAATTGAAGACTTTCCATTAACAAGGCTGCTGAGCCCTGACTGTTTGCAGCTTTCATTCGTATCTGTAGGCTCAGTTTTCACATGGTTTTCCACTCCTGGTAATGCATCCAACTCACTCTCTAGATGCAGGTTGGTTGAGAGAGGTGGTGTCAAACTACTCTCAGGACTGCTCAACTAAAACAAAACAAGGACAACCTCTTGAAGAATCATTTAATCCATTATTGTTAGGTGTGTGCGTGCGTGTGTGTGTAAACCTTATGTCAACATGTATACAGATATACTGACCTAACTTAAAATTACTTTGGAAATCGTATTAGTGACATAAAGGAATGAAATTAACCCCAAATTTAGGTAGGCATGTTAACCTGTGCTTTTAGGGAGCAGTCTCTGAAATACTGGTTCCCTCAGATAGTAAGGAAATGAATCTACCAGCTAAGCATACTCCTGAGAAGTGAGCATGTGGTTATACTTTTCCTAAAGAGATGACATTGGTGTGTGCTTTTCACTCAAGAATCTGCTGCATAGCTTTTGAGGAGCATTCTTCTGCCCACTTATCATTCTACAAATGTAGGGAAATTATGACAATATACAAAAGAATCTTCTAAGCTGTTGTGGAGGTACATTCCAGGTTAAGTTCTGGATGAAGAAGTGACGCTGCTCCAAACCCAAGACTAACCGTGCTGCTCTCTAAACCCACACACACTGCGTGCCACACAGCAGCTTGAGCTGCCATGTCTGTGTGCCAACCACACAGAAGCCTGAGCAGGAAGAAAAAAACCAAGACAGAAACTTCTAAACAGAGGGACTTGTGCCTTCTTTACCCTGTATTATAAGTTCTATAGGGTGCCATCGGAGAACTCCAGAATGACTAATAATTCCTAAGCTAAAGGCAATCTTCCCCCATGACAAAATATTTTATTGTTAGACTTCTTCCATGTCAGCAGCCTTAACTCTGAATGTACAAGTCCAGGCAAATAGCCAAGGGTCATCTATGGCCTGAGATGTTTAAAAAATTCAGATTAAGATAGAACTTGACTTAGAATCATGGCAAAAAATATGACCAATTAAAAACAAAAAAGATAATTTTAAGCGAATCCTTAGTACAATTCTTTTCTGATAATTACAGCTCACATTTGGAGACATGTGGCTAGTACCCGGCACAGAAATGCGAGCACAAGGACCTGTTCACAGACACACTATTCAGTCTACCCCGCTCGGGGGAAGAGGCCCGCAGACCCCGGCTTTACCATGCAGGCACTCCTCCGGCCGTCCTCCGTCTTCTCCTGCTTCACGGCTCCCGAAAAGCCACATAGCTCATCTTCAGTCCCAGGCTCCTGCTTGACCTTCACTTGGTCAGACTTGAAACTAAGACTTGTCTTCTCAGCAGTTCTTCCCGATGACCCACAGCTAGTAAAAAACAAGAAGGCCACATATATCTGACTGCGGTGTGTATGAAAGTAATGTTCATTAATGTGAAAACAGTTTATTAATTTTAGGATGATAAGACACTTCATAATGTTAAGAAGAATGTGGTATAAACTTAGCTTCTAATTCTTAAAAAGGTAAATCAAACTTTCAGAAGGCCTTAAAAACCCGCTATGTTCTGAGGCACTACACTAAACCAGATAAGAAGTCTAGTAAACATTTTCCCTTCGCTCTATTAAAGTAGTTTCAATGCGTCTCTACCCCGAACATCTGAAGGAAATAACATCCACGGTGGTTCACGAAGCCTTCTCAAAGGAATGGCTAGTTTAGTTTTTACAGGCGGGGATTGGGAAAGGATAACAGATAGTAAACAACTACAATGCCCTTATCTGAAATCACTGTAATGATGCCAGACTAACCCGTTCTATCCAAACACAAAGCAAAACCACTGGCAAGAGAAGGGAGTAACTACTAACGCTGTGTTACTTCTAAAAATGAACACCTGTTTTTTTCACTCCCTTTATACTTTTCTTCTAAAAGTACTGATTATTAAAGTATAATTATAAGGTCAAGCAAGCGTTTAAAAGGATCAAGCTTCAAAATGCATGGGCACACACGCATACAAAGAATCCAATAACATAAATCTTTTTTGCATTAATTTATTAATTTAAATTATTTAAAGAGTAAAAATCAGTCAACATTATTGTATTTTACCTTAAACACACTCTCTCCCACCCCCCCCATTTCCTTAGTTCTGTCACCAAAAAGGGGTAAGAAACAAGGAAATATCTGCATTTTCCGATCAATGAATCGTAATGTCAACATCTGTGTCTTAGGCGACCATTCTAGCGCTTCTCAACCTGTGGGTCTGCTGTAGAGCCTATCACCATCGGAAAGCACAGATATTTACATTGCAATTCAGTAGCAGCAGCAAAATGACAGCTATGAAGCAGCAGCGAAAATAATGTTCTGGTTGGGGGCCCCACAACATGAGGAGCTGCGTGAAAGGGTCGCGGCGTTAGGAAGGGTGAGAACCGCTGTCTTAGAGAAATGGCTGATTCCAGTTCTAAAGCAGAAAATGTACAAGATGAACCTGGACAATCACTTCATAACAATAAACAAGGAAGCTGTCAGAGGACGCTGGGATTATACCCCCCCAAAAAAACTCTGACAGGCCAAAGAGAGAAAACTTGAAGCATCAACAAAATAACACCTACAATGGTTTGGGTCATAGAAAACATATTTAAATATATGAGCTCATAAAGTTAAAAATTAGAAGAAAACTGGTCCCTGTTGCAGGGTGCTGGGAAATCAACTCAACTGGTAAATAGAGAGAAAGAAGCTATTCACTCAGCTTTTCCCATAACTAAATAGTTGGTGCAGAAAGTGTCTCTTTACAGAATTTAAAATAATAAACCAAGAAGGAATAACAGAATAATTTAAATACATAATTTTTCAACCAGTTAAAAAAGAGTGAGGCAATGATCAATCACTAAGGGTCACTAACACACAACAAACATTACTCGCCTTCCTGGGAATACACAGTACCACGACCCTGCCCCCAATCAAACCTGAACCCAGCACACCTCCTGATCTAAATACAACAGAGAGAAATAGCAGCAGGCAGTGTATTTAAATGACAAAATGGATGGAATGCTATAGGAGAAACAATATATCGATGGCAATGTAAAGGTGTTTATGAGAAATTTTAAAAGGTATTTATGGGAAAAATTGGGACATCTGAACATTAACTGAATCTCTAGTAATATTAAAGAATTATCCATTAAATTTTTTCTAGGTGTGATAATAGTTCTGTGGTTATAAAATTTTTAAATCCTTTTATTTTTGTGATATATTCTGAAACAGTCACAAGTAAATAAGATATCTGAGATTTGTTTAAAAATAATCCAGACTAAGAGGGAATGAACAGAAGAATTAAGATTGGCCATAACTTGGTGATTACTGAAGCTAGGTGGTAAGTATATAAGAGTTCACTGTAAAATTCTACTTTTTAAAGTACATATTTGAAATAACTCTTAATAAAAAATTATGTCTATTAATAATGTAATACTCACCTGCCTCTGCTGCCAGTACTAGATGTACTAGGGGGTCTTACAGGGGTGTGAGAATTGGATAAACCTGCAAATAAGTCAAAATGAGTATTAATGCAGGTAAGATATTCAGAATTCTAACTACTATTTACAGACTTCAAGATGATCATAATTCAGTTTAGCTGCCCTGGCCAGATAGCTCAGTTGGTTAGAGCGTTGACTGATAAACCAAGGTTGTGGGTTCAATAAGTGGGACAACAAATCAATCTGTTCCTTCCTCGCTTCCTCTATATAAAATCAATACATAATTATTTTTAAATTTCTTGAAAATCAGACCCAGGCTTAGCCCTGGACAGGTATGGCATTTGTAACCACTGGCAGACCTCAACCAGCTTCTCTCAGCTGAGCACCATCCCCAGAGCCTCTCAGCGACACTCTCCAACCAGTGAAAACTCACGAAGAGAAAGCTATGTGCTCTTTCCCTGTGTTATCTGGTAACTATACTACTCAGATTCCTATCATTTATTCTTTCTTTTTTTCCAGAGTTCTAGAATAATTACATTAAACCTCAAAAATTGTATGACTCAAAAAAATGTATTAATGATGCATCTCATGCAAAACCCACATTTAAATTTGAACTATTCTTTCTCTAGAAATAATGAGGTAGTCCGTTTTAGTGAGAAAACAATAACATCTAATTATACCCGAAAACTATATCCCATACCCCTCTGCACCGTAACGAGGGGAGCTGCTCCACTCACTCCCTCGTGGTGAGGTCAGTAAAACACCGGGTTTGGGAAGAGAGCTACAGCTCACGGTTTGATTGGTCATGTTTAACAGTTTCCAATAAATTTAAGTTTCTGTTTTAAAATTGCCATTTGAAAAGTCACTTGCCTTTCCTCAACTCTTTTTTCAAAACAACTTTTCCACTTTTCATTATTTTACAAAGTGTTTTGAACTTGGGTTGAAACCAAAGAATTCTCCAACTGATGATCTATATCATGAAATATAAGACATGGAAAATAAATGTAACTACAAATCCAGCAATGAACATAAACAAAGCTGGGGAGAGGGATACCCAGAGTTCTGAACAGTGTGCACTACAATATAAACTAATGCTACTTCAGTTAGCTGAAGAACGCCTCAAGTATTTGAAGAAATCAGAGCAATCAGGAAAAATATACGTTATGAGATTGTTACTTTTGTGCGTCAACTAGTCCCAGTTGTTTGTCCAAACACCAGCCTAAATGTTATTATGAAGGTATTTAAGATGTGATTCACACCTAAATCAGTTCATTTAGGTAAAAAACATCAACCTCCGACATGTGTTTGGGCCTCATCCAATGGGCGGACAAGCTTGCAGAGGACTGAGCCGCCGGAGGAAGCAGACTCTGCCTGCGCTGAAGGGCCACGTCAGCTCTTCCTCGGCTCTCCAGCCTGGCATGTGCCCTGAGACTTCAGACTGGCCCGCCCTGACAGTCACAGGAGCTGCTCCTCAGCATCTCTCTCTTCCCCTCCCACCCGCGCACACATCTCCTGGGACTCTTTTTCTGGAGAACCTGATGCATACACAGGGAAAGGATTTCGGTAAGGTGTGGAAGAAGTGAGGCAATGCCTCAGCTGTCTTACCTGATGATCCTGGCGACAGGGCAGAGGGGCCGGGAGAGGGATTCATGGTACTTGTAGGCTGTGGGGGGAGGTGAGTGCCTGAGATGTATCTACTTAGTAGATTATCTAAACTACTGGAACCAGCATCTTCCAACTGAAGAGAAAAACAAAAAAGACAAATTTGCTTTGATTAAACCCAGAGACATCATTCATCTCAATAATATAACCATTTATGCTGTTTCCTTTTAAATAGATTAGCCTACAAACAAGTCGGCTTAACTATTGCTCCCTGAGGCTCCCTGAGGCTCCACACAGCATAAAGCTGATGTGAATAAAGCTATCATCATCATCATATTCACCAACTCCTGGCGGATCAGGGCAGAGCCAGCAACCCTCTAAGTTCTTTATGTTCTGCCATGAAAACAGGCTGACACACTCTGGCATGTCTGCCTTTTCTTAAAACTGATGCAGGACCTTGTTTTTCAATATCCTTGTCCTGTCTTCCTCCCTTTATTTTCACAAACATAGCTCCCCCAAAACCATTCACCTAAACAGAGTCTTAATGCTCTCCCTTGTCTTTATCCCCACAGAGACCCTGAGACGGAAGGTCCCTCATTGCACACACACAGGGGCAGTCGGCAGGCAGTGGGTTAGAGACACCTTGGAGCTGACTTTGGCCTTATTTCCAACTGAACATCAAGTTTCTATTTTTTAAATATTTAACTACATTGAAAACTGATGAAATGAGAAAATATGTATGTAAGAAGTAGTAAACATATATTTAATTATGAAAATTACCATAAGTAAGTTTATACTTGTCCTTATAAGAGATGATCAAATTCTTCTTAAATAACTGCTACCCTGGCTTACTGATCTGTTTGTATCCATACTAGTGCCTTTTACTCTCCTCTTCTGCTAGAGGCAAGATCACTTTTTGAAAACAGAACACATATATTTATCAGTTCCTCTTCTTTCCTCTCAAAAACCACACTGATTTCCATGACTATAAAACAGGAAAGCATAACATTGAAGCAGAAACTGTGAAAGAAACTATACATACAAAACCCAAGGTAGAATTGGATTGACAGAAAACTGATAAGAATAAAGCAGCTTGCCGAAACCGCAGGAGGCACCCCCGCAGGAGGCAGCTGATTGATGTTTCTCTCTCATCGATGTTTCTAACTCTCTATCCTTCTCCCTTTCTCTCTGTAAAAAGGTCAATAAAATATATATATTTTTAAAAAGTAAATGATACTCTAAAAAGAAAAGGTATATCAGAGAAAACATGGATTCCATTCTCTGCACACTTTAAAAAATTAGGCACTGGAGGGCTCACATTCCAGAGCTTCTTGTCTTGACCTCATCGCTCTTCTGGGCATGATGGCAAGGGAAGCACATGCACCTTCCTCCCTGCGATGCCCAACTTCCCAGAGACGTGGAACCTTTACACCTGGTCTGGGTGAGAGAGAACGAGGCCAAGGCAGAGTTACCCTAGCAAATCACTGTAAGTGTGGCATTAGCAGCCTTCCTTCTCCCTTTGAAAGTTTCTTTAAGAACTGGAATCAAGTCCTGTTTATCTTTTTACTAGAGGCCTGGTGCACAAATCTGTGCATGGGTAGGGTCCCTAAGCCTGACCAGCTATCAGGGCTGATCAGGTTCCCCGCATCCCCATATCCCCCTTCCCTCGCTCCCTCAGCACCCAGCCACATGTTCTGCACCGCCCCCTGGTGGTCAGAGCATATCATAGGAAGCAATCAAACTCCAGTTCTCCTGGCTGAACTCCTGAGGAGACACTTTGCATATTAGCCGTAGGTAGGTAGATAGATAGATAGATAGATAGATAGATATAGAGATAGATCATTAATGCCCAGGACTTCAGCAGACATGGTGCTTAGTAAAATGTCAATGACTCCTTAAACATGTACACACCTCTCTCTGGTTGCCCAAAGCCTCTGAAAACGAATAGCTTTCCAGGCCTCCAATCCCAAACTATATCCCTGCAATTTCTACAAATATTAGGGAGAGAACTGGACTTGTAATCAGGAGTTTAGGTTTAAAATTACAACTTTTCCGACACATTTATTTACTGGGTGACTTTAAGAAAGTCAAAAACCTCTTAATCTCATCCATAAAGTAGATATATTACACACACACACACACACACACACACACACACACACACACACACATATATATATATATATATATATATAACCCTAAGTGACCGGTAGACCAATCGACCATTTGACCAGTTGCTATGACACGCACTGACCACCAGGGAGCAGACACTCAATACAGGAGCTGGCCCCTGGTGGTCAGTGCACTTCCACAGCAGGAGCGCCACTCAGCTGACTGACGGAGGCCAGATATCCTCTGAGGGTCCCAGATTGCGAGAGGATGCAGGCCAGACTGAGGGTCCCCACCGGTGCACGGGCCCCTAGTATCATATAAAATGATTTCAAGCATTAAACTGATATAATGTCTGTTAAAGTTCTTTGTATAATAACTTAGCAGTTTTATTTTTTACACACACATTCCAAAAATTTCCATATAGTCCATACTCTTAGTACCAACACAACTAGATTTGCTTAGCCAAAAAATCTCTCTCCTAACATTTGGAAAGCAATCAGGTTAAAATAATTTACAATGAATTCCTGATTTTAAAACACTATTGGAGTTATATTAAGGATTGCTAGTTTTAATGCATGTAACTTTTAAAAATTCAAATATATTCTAAATTTAAAATGCCTCAATTTAAAAACAAAAACCAGAAAAATACACTCAAAATCCCTAATTCAGACAAGGTTTTGAATCTTTCATTGAACTTCAATGCGAACCTGGATGGGTGGGATGTCTGGCAGCGACGGCAGGTTCTCTGGGTTGGTGACGGAGGGGATTAGCTCTATTGCTGTAACAGACGGGCTGGTGGGACCTCGGTTCGCACTTGCCATCGTGGCTGTGGTGGGGCTGGTTGGGTTGATCGTGGTGTTGTGCACGGACACAACAGGAAAGGGGCCGGCATGCCCTGGGTTTGAGTGCTGTTAGGAAACAACATGCTATCATTATTTAATCAGCAAAGATATCTTAGTATGAATATATCTTGACAACAATTTTTTAATTTAAGGAAGGTTGTACAAGTGTCTGATAACTATGGTGAAGAAACAAAAAAGTAAGCCCTCGCAAACATATACAGAAAATAAATAATAATCCAACTTAGCATTTTCATTTTTCTATTCATTTTGTGTAGTATTTAGGAAAAGCCAAACTTGACAATAATTTTCAACCTGTCAGTCCGATGACATCTTATTCACAAAGATGCATGTAAATACATCATCTGGAAGCCCCCGAGTTTTCAAAGAGCATTTCTTAACAGCCACGGTTTTGTCTACATTCCTCTTTGACTCTTTTTTTTTTAATTGTGTATTATATAATTTATATGTAAATAATGACTCTACAAACGGAAATATTACATCAATTCCTGACTCTGACACATGTGACATAATCTCAGTAATTTAGAAATGTGAATAATGATGAACAAAAATGAACATATCTGTCTTATTGTCAGGGCTGCTATGAGGATCGTTTAAGATCACACAGATGAAAAGCTTTGGAAAATAAATTTCTATACACATTGAGTGGCCAAATTATTAAGACTTCTGAATGCATAATAATCTGGCCACTCAGTATATGTATTAGAGGCTCGGTGCATGAATTCATGCATGGGTGGGGTCCAGCCAGCCTGGCCAGGGGGAAGGGACATGGGCAGTTGGCCAGCCTGCCTGCTGGTCGAACTCCTGGTCAAGGGGACAATTTGTATATTAGCCTTTTATTATATAGGATATACATTGGCCAGATTATTACGCATTCAAAGATCACAATAATCTGGCCACTCAGTGTAAATCATTTAAAATATTAAAAAAATTAAAATTCTAAAATTCAGGGATTCTGTAGGGACCCTAAAGTGTAAAGGTACTGGTTCGTGTGATTCTGCACTCTTCCAAAGGTGTACCTGGCCCCTCAGTAACCCTTGAAGGCTTTCCATGTACTAAGGGGTATATGATTATGTGAACATTTCTAAGGCAATTAATGACCAGATCCTCAATCTCAAGTACTTTTTTTCTAAAGAAAACCCAATTTACCTAAGAATGTGCTGTGGTCTGCAGGTTCTTTTTTCACTACTTTTGCAACTACCTTCTCCACACAAAAAACAGCAAACCTCTGACCCATTCCTAATCTTATCTAGCACATCGCCTCAAGGTAAAAAACAAACAAGAGACAAGTAAAGGTACAATAAAGCTGTTACATTGTTGATCAAATGGCTTGACGCATTTTTAAGTGGGTTCTGATATTTGATGAGCAACAAGAATTAAGGAAGACCTAAAAAGCCATCAATTGATGATATTTTAAAATTTTTACAGCTCATTGTGAGATTCAGCTTTGATAACCCAGAAAATGTTCAAAGAAATGAGGGAAATTCTTATAATTACCAGACACAAAATTTTGTGAACATGTCCCCTAAGCATGAAAACAAAAACTCAAGCTAGTAATAAAAACTGATGTTGAAATGTGACTTACAAAAAAAAAAAATGTGACTTACTCTACCAATAACACATATAACTGAAAACTCAGAGATGTAGATCTAAAAGAATTTTGCTCTTTTTTTTCCTAATATTCTTAAAGCATGTAAATAAATATGCTGCTTAAACAACTGTATAGGAAAAATTATAAAACAAATTTGGTCCAAAGAAAAAGTTTTAGTTTAATAATACCTTGCTGTGGCCGGAAATTTAACAATTTTTATTTCATAATGAACATTTTTTTCCTGCACAAAAATTGCAAAGACTGATTGATTTATAACTTTATCTAACATAAATATATTTTTATAATAAATGCTAGAAAAAGTAGAAGAGATTTTCAAGTCCCAGCATAAAATTTTGACTTTCAAAAAACGAGCATGCTGTGCTATTTGGGACACCAGTGGAAACGTTTACTAGAATAAAATGTTAGGGTTTTACTTTATAATGTCAATATTTACAATATGCCAGAACTGATGTCTTTTGCAACTATTTAAACTTACAATGGAACGTTTAAATGTCAATCTTTAAATGTGAGGGAGCACTTATTCTTCAAAAGCCTTTTCAGAGATAAAGGACAGTATCTGTCAGCTTTAGTTTGCAGATTGATGTAAGAGAATAAGAGTCCACTTATTTATGAATAAGCCCCTCCTAGAAATTCTGATTCAGTGGGTGTGGCTCAGAATCCATTTCTGATAAGGCCTCCCAGTCATTCTAATGGTCTTTTAAAACCCTTTAAAAGAACACTAGCTGGTTTAGCGCAGTGAATAGAGCCTCGGTCTTTGGACTGAAGGGTCCTGTGTTAGATTCCAGTCAAGGGTACATGCCTGGGTTGCAGGCTCAAATCCCGGTAGGGGGTGTTCATCAATGATTCTCTCTCATCATTGATGTCTCTCTCTCCCTCTCTGAAATCAATAAAAATGTATGGTTTTTTTAATGTTTTTTTAAAAAACCTTTAAAAGAAAAATCACTCCAACTGTTATAAAATGAACTGCATTCTTTCATAACCAGAAATCCTATGTCAAAGTAGCTTCATTTTAAAATCATGCCTCCTATACAAAGATAACGTATTAATCAGACAAAGAGTAGAAAACATGTCCCTAAATATATTTATTTTTAAGAGTGGGTATATCTACATCCCAAAAAGAACAATACTAAGTAGAGAGAAGCAAAAAAGTAAAAATAAAATTTTAAAAATACGTGGTTTTGTTCTCAAAGTCCTTTTTTATGTATTGAGTTCAAAATGTCACATTAAAAAAGCAGAGGACCATTTCTGGAAACTATGGTTCTAATCTTGGTTTTACCGTTCGTTATCTCTTGTGATTGGGGTCAATAACAAGCTCCTTTGTGACTTAGATCTATAAAGTGAATTGGCCAGACTAGATCAGGGGCCTCATCCCATAGTATATAGAGGGCTTCATGGCTTCAAAGAAGTTGTTAAAATTGAATACAAAATGTTATGTCTTCATTCTCAAAAGTATTAGTGACTCTCCCCCAACCAATCAAGAAAAATGATGTCTGTTAGTTTTAGAATTGTACGGTTCTTACAAATGTAACTCTAGGCATACTTGTCTTTGGAGGTGTGGCTGCATCATGGAATACTGGGGGGCGCTGTGCCTGGGGATCGCTGGTATCCGGGCGGCGTTCTGAGCCAATCGCATCTGATGGGCTTGGAAAGCTCCGCAGTTCATGTTGTTTCTTTGCATTGTTTGCACACTGATCAGTCTTGGAGGCTACAAAGGGTAGAAATTGCATTTATATAATTACATTTTCAATCATTAAATGGTATATAAAAAGACTTGTCAGGATACAGAAAAACAAAGTAAAAAGTGCCGAAACAGGTTTGGCTCAGTGGATAGAGCATCGGTCTGCGGACCAGAGGGTCCCGGGTTCGATTCCAGTCAAGGGCATGTACGTTGGTTGCGGGCACATCCCCAGTAGGAGGTGTGCAGGAGGCGGCTGGTCGATGATTCTCTCTCATCGATGTTTCTAACTCTCTATCCCTCTCCCTTCCTCTCTGTGAAAAATCAATAAAATATATTAAAAAAAAAAAAAAAAAAAAAGTAAAAAGTATAAGTCATTCTTCTCATCTCTAGCTCCAAGCCCCTTCTCTCGGTATATGTGTGTGTTTAAAGCACTAACTTAACCAACCCTAGGTTAACAGCTCTGATTTGGATGGGGGAGGGGAGAGCAGAGAGGTGCAGGGATGGGAATGATTCGAACAAATGCCTAAAGAATATATCAGGCCCAGGCAGCATGGCTCAGTGCTTGAGCGTGGAACTATGAACCAGGAGATCACAGTTTGATTACCAGGCAGGGCACATGCCCAGGTTGTGGGCTCGATTGCCAGTGTGAGGTGTGCAGTTGGCAGCCAATCAATGATTCTCTCTCATCATTGATGTTTCTAACTCTCTCCCTTCCTCCCTGAAATCAAAAAAATAAAAATAAAAAAAAATAAAAAAGAATATATCAGTATTGGGCAAAAATAATCTGGCTCTTTGCCTCAAAATCACACATGTAAAACAAAAAAGATCTGGTTTGGAGGAATAAAAGCTTGTGTACTAGTGAGTTAATGTAGCTTCCCATGGTAAGTATTTACTTATTGCCCTTCCTCACTCTTCCCAACATCCCTGCAATCCCCAGAACAAATATTTAAGCTCTGACCTTCCAGTGTTGTCCGTGCTAGTCATGGTGAAATGGGTAACTCATTTATAGAGGACAGAGTCAGCCCTGAGGTCTTCACAGTCTGTGCCAACCATCAGTGCCATGTGCTCACCTGCTGCTGTAACATCTGAGGGGCTGCTTGTCGCGGGTGCTGTTGCGTCGTTGTTGTTGCTGTTGATACAGGAGCAGGCGGTTGCTGTATCCTCATCTGTTGCAACTGCTGATGCTTCTGCGCATACACTTGTTGTTGCATGTGTTGGAGTCGAAGTTGTGCCAAGTTAATCTGTCCAGGAGTTTTACTAATGTGGTTTGTCCCCGGAGGAACTTGCCCAACTACAACATTAGGAGTATACCCAGGCGCTGGTTTACTCTCTATTACTAGATTACCTAAAGAATTTAAAAAATGAGAATAGTTTGCATATAATCAAATAAATCGTCTACTTTGTGGATTAATCAATATCTTTTCCTTTCCTCTGACAACCCTCAGCACTCAAAACTTTCAACAGTGTAGCAGGAATGGGAGCTAGATGTAAAGATGATAAAGATCAGAAACCTAATATTGTCCAAAGCCAAATAATAGGCTTTTGATTGCTAGATTACCTGCCCTTATGCTTTATTTACGTAGATTTACAGAAAATTTAAGAGCTGAAAGAGATGTTATTAGAGGAAGCCCATCTAGTCCGTCTAAATCAGTGGTCACCAACCGCTGGTCCACTAGTGGTCTGTGAGATCCGAAAGGTTAGGGACCGCTGGTCTAAATCAATTCTCCTTTGAAAAGATTCAAGGATATTCAAGATTACGATTGCTGATTCCACCTGCTTTTGAATTGCCAAAATATGCAGGGCAGAGTACCGCATTGCTATAAAACTGTCTTCTGTGGAAATCCTAAACGTTTTAAACCACTTATGTCCTTAGAGATGACAATTTTCCTGATTTCTCTTATCAATGTCCCTGTACCTCTCTTGCTCTCTCCCTTCCCCCATCCAAATCAGAGGCCACTGCTTTCTAAACACAGCAGGCAAATTTTAGGAAGGTTTGATCTAAGGTAGTGTTGGCAAACCTTTCCTATAACGAGCCAGATATTTTAGGCTTCATAAGAACTGTCATATGTCCTTTGTTTTTTATTTATTTGCTTTTACAGCCCTTTAAAATGTAAAAAACTTAGCTACCTCGCCACACAGAAACAGTTTGCTGATGCCTGATCTAAGGCTTTAGCCAAATCTGAATTGACACAAACACTACTTTTTCATGGAAGGCTGGCCCCTTCTGCTTTGACAGCTTCTACACCCAGTTCTGATTGCTGGGGAAGGTTTTGCCTTGTTTTAAACTGAGCTGTTGGCCTGGTGCTCTGTGACTCCACCTATGTCCTCAGGTTCCCTGTGAAGTAACAAAAGCAAAGCCCATTTCTCTTCCGTGTGAAAGAGCTGCTTTTATCTTTCCAACATTCCTCAGACACAACCTTCGGACACATCAGTATCCTGGACATCATCCTCCGGAGGACAATTTGGTTCAATGAATATACAAACTACTGAGCATCTAGGAAATTCCTCCAGAGAAGGGAGACCCGTTTGCTAAGCTTCAATGAAAGAGCCAATGTCAATTTAACAGATGTGAGGAAATGTACATATTTTTAAAAACTTTGCAGGAGACTCTCAACATTCTTGAAGATATAATGAACATATAGTTTGAGTTCCCAATAAAAAAACATACTTTCCAAGAGCAAAGTTAAAAAACTTTCAATATATAAAATTTGCTTTAGATACTTTCTCCTAACTCAAGTGTTCCAAGTTATATTCATAAAACTAATGATTTCTTACCTAAATTGACTACGTTCTTTGCCCAGAAGGTGGGATCACAATGAAAACGTATTGCTCCGTTAGCAGCGGGGACGGGATCACAACGAGCTTTCAAAATATGGCGCAACTGAAAAGTAATCTTAAAGGGGAAAATTCACATTAGTCTTAAAATTAAATATCACTTAGAAAAACATAAGATAAAGACATAAAAGCTCATGTAGCCCCACAGTGTCAGTCTCAAAGGAAACAATATCAGTGTGTCAAAGACTACCTATATCAGCAATCAAATGCACATGCTCGCATCTCTGCCATTTCTGATGATAAACTGCACACAATATTAGGTATCTTCAAAACAGAATACTGTATGATTCCACTTACATGAAATTCTAGAAGACAAAAATCAAACTAACAGCTGCCTAGGGCCTGGGGTATAGGGGAACAAGGGAACTTGAGTGGGTAATGGAGATTCTCTGTATCTCACTGTGGTGGTGAATACATTTGCCAAAATTCAAAATCTACACTTTACACAGGTGCAGTTCCGAATGCACAATGAAGTCCACCTAGAGAAAAATGAAGACTACGTGTCTCACCAGTCGCTTGCTGTACAGGAGGGCGGTGCTGCTGCCACTCGCAATTGCCCAGTTGGTGAAGTTCATGACGTGCTTCACCTGCCGTGAGAGGCCTGTGATGTCATTCTGCTGCTGGATCAGCTTCATCTGTCTTTCTTTTGTGACCGTCTGAAACAGAACAAGAGGTTCACCAAGAATTCTGAATGAAAAACATCAAGTCATTATTTCTATTGAAAATGAACACAGTACTGCCTGGCCGGTGTGGCTCAGTGGTTGAATGTTGACCTATGAACCAGGAGGTCATGGTTAGATTCCTGGTCAGGGCACATGCCCAGTTGCGGGCTCGAACCCCAGTAGGGGACGTGCAGGAGGTAACTGATCAATGATTCTCTCACATCACTGCCGTTTCCCTCTCTCCCTCTTCCTCTCTGAAATCAATAAAAATTAAAAAAATAAAAGAAAATGAGCAAAATACCTACTAGTGTATATAGATTTTTTAACATGGAAAAGTTAACAAACTCCTCGTTATTTAATGAGCCTAAGATCAAAAGAAAACTTATTCACAAAAGTGGGACTAAAACTTCATTCTCTAGAGAAATTACTTATATCTCCTTTTCTCTTTCAAAAGATGAAATGTCTTTGTTATACTGTCTTCCTAGCAGGCTAATCCACAGATTTTTCAACCAGTGAGCCACAAGAATTTTTAGAAATGCAATACCTGACCTCTTTCCCCTTATAATGTCAAGTAAAAAATGACAACAGCCAACACAACAATAGCCATCCAATGTGAATGAATCAAAATTATACCTTTTTTGAGAGGTGAGATCAGCAAAAAATATTTTTATGTTCCAAAGAATTTAGTTATTAGTTTAAGCCATAGATGAAAAGGTTGAAAATCACTGTGCTATTATACGGAGTCTATAGCATCATAAGTTGACTTTTAGAAATAATGTTATATAATCTTAACTCACTACACTTTTCAGGCCAAAGAAAACTTTCTGTTACCAGTGCCACCTACTGGTGTGGCATGAAGCTGATGTTCAAATCTCTTAAATACCCACACAAAATGAGAAAGATGAATTCCACAGCTCTAAGAGTAGAGATTAGAGAAAGTTTTGGTCTGAAATAGTTCATAAAGAACAAGTGAATAAGTGAAGGTTGAAGAAAAGACTAACTTGGAAAAAATGCTGCAAAGGAAAAAGATAATTTGCTTTTAGGGAAGTAAAAATAATCTGCTTTTGGGGAAGAAAGAATAGGTAATGTCCTGTCCTTTGACAATCAGAACAAACAACCACCTATCTACTTCGCTCTTAACCACTTTCTTTTTCTTTTTTTTCTTTTTTCTTTTTTTTTTTTTTTTTTAACAAAAATGACTCAATTTATCAATTTTTTCTCTAAGCAAACAAGTTGCCCATTTTATAATGTAGAATCAATGAATAACAGTATTTGACTGACAGAAGTTTGACAACTTTCCTGGAAATCTTCCCTCTTATAAAACTTGGGGAAAACTCTATTTTATAAGTTTAAAAACATATTACACTAGAGAACATCTACTGTTTAAATTATCAGCACATTAGATTTAATATAAGGTATTTATGTATATTTTAGCAGTAAGAGGCATCTTTTAATTCTAAAGTTCTTGAAATGGTTTAAAGACATTATTTTAGACCTATCGTTAAAATGTATTTACAGTAAATTAAAATATAAAAAAATAATTGCATGCCCACTGTTTATTCCCATGGTCCTTTTGAAAACAAAAATCTATCAGGGTTAAGTACAACCGGCTGGATGTGTAATAGGAAAGAGACCATCATCTCTAATAATGTGTGTTAGAGAACTTTTAACCTCACAATGTGCCTCAATCAAAAAACGAAATTCAGAAATAACACTACACTGACAATTCTTTCATGTATATGTAATTATATGTCTAATATTTCTAAGTGCTCTATGAGGAAACAGAAAAGAAAAAAATCTACTCTGGAAAATTTGAGGTTAATAGTAATGAGGTTAATAGTAATAAGGCAATCAAAAAATACTTATGTATGCCCTGGCTGGTGTGGGTCAGCGGTTAGAGCGTCGGCCCACAGACCAAAGGATTGCAGGTTTGATTCCCAATCAAGTCAGATAACTAGGTTGCAGGTTCAATCTCTGCCCCCCAGTAGGGGCATGGGCAGGAGACAACCAATGTGTCTCTCACATCACTGTTTGCGCGCGCTAACGCGCGCGCTCTCTCTCGCGCTCTCTCTCCCCCTCCCTTCCACTCTCTCTAAAAATCATTGGGAAAAAATCTGTTCAACAGTGCAGAAAATAAAACCCCATATCATGTAAGCCTACTTAAGAGCACAAATTTTGAGAACCAATCAACTATAGTCAGTAGAGATGATGAATCTTTAATTAAAACTTAGTTTGGGTTTCACAAATTAATTGGATTCACATATAGAAATTTACATCTACATATTAATCTCAAATATGTAAAACAAAGATCTAATATAACAAAACTACCAGTAAGTTTGAAATTTACAAATTTCATCCAGCCAGTGTGGCTCAATGGTTGATCATCCACCCATAAACCAAGAGGACACTGGCTGGAGTCCCAGTCAGGGAACGTGCCCAGTTATGCGCTCAGTCCCCAGTGGGGGTATGCAGAAGGCGGTCATTGATGTTTCTCTCTCACTGAGGTTTCTATATCTCTATCCTTCTCCCTCACTTTCTCTCTTTAAAAAAAGAAATCAGTAAAAATCTATTTTATAAATAAAGTTTACAAATTTCAAAATGAGCACTTTTTGCAAAACTATGGGAAAATTTTTAAATTTAGTGAAACATGCAAATGACTCAAGCAAACTCCCAATACACATTCATACGCACGTAAAGGTTAAACTGAGGATCTGGGAGGAGGGGAGAAGCGAAGGTGGCACAATGTGATGGGTTAGCTTTGTCTTCAGTAATATTTCTAAATTCCTAAGAGGACAATACTAATTTATTCAGCTAAATCAGTCGTATTAAATTGTGGTGCAAAGTACCTCAAAAAAAGGTCTATTTTCCAACAGAACATTAAAAAAAATTTTTTTTTAGTTTACTTCCTTATCCCCCCAAACCAATCTAAAAGACTTTTCGATAAACATTTAAAAAAAAAAACAAAAAAAAAAACAAAACAGCTAAAGATCAATAGAAGCAGTTTTTGTTTGATTTTGGCTTTGAACCGTACCTCTAGCTGCTGTAAGAGAGATTTTCCTTTCTTATTAATTTCATTGATAAGGGTGAAAATGGCCACTTTTATTTCCTGTTCTACTCGTTTGTTAGTCTCATTTACTTCTTTTATCCTGAATAAGAGAAATGCATCATTAGGTTATCAATTTATCTCTAAATCATCAACTTACAGAAATTCAATTGGGCACTTAACCGAGCAATTAAAATTAAACCTTTGTCAAAATGTACTACTATGTTTCAGCAGACCTGAGCACTCATTTTGGTCCAAGCAAGTTATGTTTATGGACAAAGAATGGATGAAATAGTCTTTTTAAATTAAATTCATAAAGGCCAGTATATTGATCTAGATAGTAATCTCTTTCAGTTCCCATGACATGAATGTTATATAAAAATATCTGACATTAGTGCTTGCTCATGTCAAATCTGGCACACTGGTTCTATTTAATCTTAATGCTTTTTTGAAAAACAATGTGCAAAAAACAATGTTGCAACCAATAATTATCTTTTCAAATAATAGGAACTAAGTTTAAAAGCATTAATTTTCATTTATAACTTAACCGTTTCAAATATGGGTTCTAATATGCCCTTTCATAATTCTTCTCAAAATGGTTTATTGTATACAGTTAAAGGCATAAAACATTTTCAATCCATTCTTTTAAAATAGCTGTTAGATGAGCTGAGACCGGTTTGGCTCATTGGATAGAGCATCGGCGTGGGGACTGAAGGGTTCCAGGTTCGATTCCGGTCAAGGGCATGTACCTTGGTTGCGGGCATATCCCCAGTGGGGGATGTGCAAGAGGCAGCTGATCGATGACTCTCTCTCATTGATGTTTCTAACTCTATCTCTCTCCCTTCCTCTCTGTACAAAATCAATAAAATATATATTTTTAAAAAATAAAATAAAATAGCTGTTAGATGTTCTAGAAACAGGTATAAGCTCCTACTGTGGTTAGAAAAGTTTTGGTTGCATATTTTATTTACAAAATAAATAGGGGAAACCCTCACCAATATGAATAAATAGAATGTTAAACAACTATAAGAAGGAAACCTTCAACTTTTATTCACTCTTCTTCTGTACAGACTATAACCCACACTTTCAACCCAGAAATTGACCTTTAATTGCCAAATTCAAATCTGAGGACTTTAATACACTTAATCTTAATAACATAGTTTTCTCTCCTTTGTACATCAGTGCTTGTTTGGGCACTTAAAAATTTTATTCAATTCTATCCTTAAAGTCCTTTTTTTAAATCAGAGTACTGATTACTAATGATAAGACATATGGGACTCAAACTTAAAATTATTTTGGCCAAAGATTGAAATCATTAAGCATGCTGAAAGCAGAGAGCATTTAGCCAGAGTCAGAATCTCATTGGATTTTAGCATGTCTGCAATATGTTCAATTGTGAAGGAAGAAAAATATGAATGTACATTGGAAAATGGAGGAAGGTCACCAAAAAACATGTCTAAGACATCAATACCTTTTTTTAAAATTTTCGGAAGATGAAATCATCAATCTCCCCAATCCTTTGCAATCTTATAAAACAAACTTATTGCTCTACTTCTCTACATAAATTCAGAAACATACATACAAAATATGTATAAAACATAGACAAAAATATGAGACTGCCATATGAATCAACTCATCCTTTCTCTGAAAAGAACGTCCATCTATAATTTATGAGAAGACAGTAATGTCCAATATCACCCGCAATATATCAACATACCCAAAAACCCTGACATAGCCATAAGAACTAACCATCCATGATGAGAATCTGTATATTTACATATATGTGCAACTTCTTAAAATGAAAATTCTACCCTCTTATTGTCCAATAATTTACTATTTTCTAACATATAATATATATTCATTCATTCATGTATTCAATATTTTTTAGTATCTACTAGGGCCATCTTAAATAATCATAAATGAATTTTAATATTCCAAGAGTACCTAAAAGTTCTAGCATTTGTGAATCTGAATAATCAGCATCTATCAACTCTATTCATAAATCCAGGGATATACAAGCTTTAATTATGCCAGCTCCAAGTGTTAGTCTTCCTACATTAAGGGCCCTCATTTTATTAATCTATTCACTTATGAAACTTACTCATATTTGCCTTATCAATAAAGTTGATTTAGAAATGAACCAAAATCAAATTTTTTAAATACTAATGGTGTAACTGATAAAAATAATGGCAACGATAAAAATTTGAGTTTGCTATGTGCTGTATATTCATCTTATACACTTTAAGAGAGGTACTGTTTTTAATGCTTGTTTTACAGGTGAGAAAATAAATTTGTCCACCTTCTTCCTATCCTCTCTCCTGTGTCTTTCAGAGTCTCTAGTTAAATTTGATAATTCAGCCTGGCCAGGGGGTTCAGTGGGGGCGCTACCCCGTACACAAGGAGCGCTACCCCGTACACAAGGTTGCAGGTTTGATTCCCAGTCAGAGCACACATCTAGGTATGGGTTCTCTCCCCAGGCGGGGAGCGTACAGAAGGCAACCAATTAATGGTTTTCTCTCACATCGATGTTTATCTCTCTCTCTCTCTCTCTCTCTCTCAGTAAAAACATATCCTCGAGTGAGGATTATTTTTTTTTTAAATTTATAATTCAACTCTCTACATATTAATTGTATTTTTCACATTTAACTAATGTTTACAATGACTAGTGTCTTATTAATTATAAAACAGTCAAAGATATATCCTAAAGCTATTCAAAAATTTTATCAATTAAATTTTACTGAATTAACAAATATTATACTCCAAACTCAAACTTATACCATTTACCCCTCTCCAAAACTAATATTTTTAATATGCTTAGTATTAATATATTTTTTAAAAAATTTAAACTGAACCCACTGTATTTAATAATCCTTTAAGTGAAATCATAGTTTTAAGGCAACTCACTTACCTATTCTGCACCTGAGTAGCTGCAAAATGAACATAGTTCTTCTTCTCAAGAAGCTTGGCTAGTAGATTCTCAATTGCACCTTTCTGGTTTTGAAAAGCTTCTTCCAAAAACTGGTACCTTAAAGCCAAAACAAAAACTACATTTAAGACAGGAAATTATTAAGGTTTTGGAAACGAGGAACTGCGGCACAGGTAAATCTAGAAAGCTTAAACGATCAGCATTGTATGCTGATCACACATACATTACGTCAACAGCAACTTTTAATTACCAATACCTCTCCAGCCGACCCAACCCTGAAAAGCCATTGTAAGATTAAAAAAAAATAACTTAAGCCCTAATCAGTTTGGCTCAGTGGATAGAGCATCGACCTGTGGACTCAAGGGTCTCAGGTTCGATTCCGGTCAAGGGCATGTACCTTGGTTGCGGGCACATCCCCAGGAGGGGGTGTGCAGGAGGCAGCTGATAGATGTTTCTCTCCCATTGATGTTTCTCACTATCCTTCTCCCTTCCTCACTGTAAAAAATCAATAAAATGTTTTTAAAAAATAAATAATAACTTAAAAACTGTTCAAGTGCTCTTACATTAGAGCTCTGATTCAGGATGACTTTTTTTTAGTCCAAATATTAGCAGAAGTTTAATAAACAAGCTGCTTTCTCTCTGATGATAAATGTACCTTATGAAAATAATATGCATAGATAGGATACTTTCACTCGCGGCCATGATAGAGTAATGGGTACCAAACTAGCCCTGCTACCAAAAACTATAAAACAAGACAAAAATATGAGGCAGCTGTACTGTCATTAGAAAACCTCTGCCAAACTCATTTTTCAGAGAAACTCTGCAGTCCTTCAGAGAGAATCGCCGTCACCCTGCCGCTCTGTCTGTGCACAATTCCATGATAACTGGCAGAGAGCGCTAAGGGCCAAGCAGAGCACAAAGTTTCTGTGAGCTGAGGAGGCAGAAACCAGGGCTGGAACTACTAAGCTCCTGGAAGCCACGGAGAAGGGTCCTGGAATGAAGGAGCTGTGCACAGAGGCTGAGGACTCTGCGAATCCCTCACAAACCTCCGTGCAGTGTCTGTGCCACCGTGCACAGTGAGGGCTCGCTGCTCTAAAGCGGGCGGTGGAGAACAAAGCTAGAGGTCCCGCGGCTCTGGCGGCAGAATTCCAGCTGAGCAGCGGGGGCAGGGGCTTTGCTCACCGCGCAGGCATCTACCTAAGAAACCAGAAAGGCCACACCTTAAAGGGCAATAACTGTAGTTGGAACAACTTCTACCCTCCGCCTATCTTTTCCTAACAAAGCCTAAAACCAAACCTTCATTTGATCTTTCAAGAAACACAATTCAGAAGTTAAGTCCAACCCAGTTACAGACCTGGGAAACACCCGGGGCTTTTCACAGACCATCCCTAAGTAGATGTAAAAACAAGCTTACAAAAAAAGGTGATCAACCAGTAGCTTACCTGCCCCCTAGAACAGTAATTAAAGAGTCTGCAGAGAAAGAGTATCCAGAGTTTCAATAATATATCACCCACAATATCTAAATCTCAAAAACTCACTAGGCATCCAAAGAAATCGGAAAGTATGACTCAAGGAAAATATACTAAAACAAACAAAAAAAAACCTGACACAAGATAATCCAGATGTTCTATTAAGCTAAAATTTTAAATGGTCTATCATATATTTTCTTCAAAATTTAAATGATAACAGGTTCTTAACAGTAAACTGGTGGGGAAACTCAGCAGAAAAAAAATGAAAACTATTAAAAAAAAAAAAATGGAAAGTCCAAAAAAGTACAGTAATTGAAATAATTCACTAGATGGGCGTGACAGCAAATGGGTGATGGCTGAAGTAAGGGTTAGTGAAAATGAACACAAATAAAAAATTTTAAAGTCTGAAGAAGAGAGAATAGATTGAAGGAAAATGAACAAAGCCTCAGAGACCAGTGTGACAAAATCAAAATTTAACATATGTGTGCTTGGAGTCCCACAAGACAGTAAGAATGTGGGGGGAAATTTTTTGAATAATGGTCAACTTCCCAAATTTGATAAAAACTATAAACTTACAAATACAAGAAGCTCTGAGAACCACACACATAATCTATAGAATGGAACACATACCTAAAAACATCACAGTCAAATGGTAAAGACCAAAGAAAAAGAGGAAATCTTAAAAGCAGCCATATAAGTCATTAAAAACAAAAGAGGCCAGAATAAAAAGTAATGAGAGCTTTTAAATGTTGAAAGAAAAAAATGTCAACCCAGAATTCTATAACTAGTGCAAACATCCTCCTAAACTGAGGCTATTCCAGTGAACAGAAATGGAAAGTATTCATTCCCAGCAGACCTGCAAAACAAGAAACGCTGAAGGATATACTTCAGTACAAAGGAGCATAGTAAGAGATGGTAACTCATATACAGGAAGGAATAAATGGGTAAATATATATTCCTCTCTCTTCCTGTCTATAAAAAATCAATAAAGTATATATTTAAAAAACAAACATATATATATATATATATATATATATATATATATATATATATATATATATGTTTAAAAAAAAAACTAAACAAGAAGCCCAACATTTGGTTGGTTTATTTAAATTCTGAATATTACCACACCTGGTAATATTACTAGTACTAATCGATACAACCATCTCGAAGGTCATTCGTACTTGAATGGGGGCAGTAGTCTATCTCCAGATGTGTTTGGGCCCTATGATCCACACACGGAAGGATTTTGGAAGTTTCAGCAACACAGACTGTGCAAACTGGAGTTTATGGGGATGGGGTGGGCTAGAGAGGTCAATGGAGGAAAGGGAGGGACATGTGATACTTTCAACAATAAAGATTTAAATTTAAAAAATAAAAAATAAAAGATATCTGCAAAAAAACAGAGGGGGAGGGGGAAGGAAAAGGAGGAGGAGGAGGAGACATCTTAGTTAAAAAACAGATTAAAGTGTGGTTGACTCAACGTAACCTACTCTTGTATGGCAGGAGATTCATAAAGCCCATCTCCAATGCAGCAGAACTGCTGGAGGAAATTCTGTAGGCCAAGCAAGACCATCTTTTTAATTGTAAAAATAGATGTCATGTCAACTGGGAAATTTACCGATGGTCTTAGACGACCACAGGTTGAGAACCGCTGCTGTAGAGCCTAAGACCATCGGAAAACACAGATATTTACATTATGATTCATACAGCAGCAACATTACAGTTATGAAGCAGCAATAATTTTATGGTTGGGGGTCACCATAACATGAGGAACTGTATTAAAGGTCATGGCATTAGAAAGGTTGAGAACTACTGATTTAGATGCTTATAAATCCCTGATTTTTCGGCAAATTGTAATATCAAAAATGAAATCCATTTATTTATGCTTTAATGTTAAAATGGGTACCATTTATCCATATCCAGGTGAATATTACCTTTTTAAATGACAGCTTATAGCCTAAATAACACAGTACTTGAAAAAAAGTGTATCTGAACCAAGTCAGTGCAAACAAATACAATTCCATTCTTACAAACCCAAATCCATATAATGCATTTTTAACAAATCATAAAAATATTAGTTATGAATGTGAAAACCATTAACTTATCAAAAAATGATTTAAGAAATATATAAAATTGAGAATTAAAATGCTAACAAACAAAATTAAGGAATACATATTTGCTTTAGAAAAAGTAAATAAGAATTTTTAAAGAACTTTTTATAATATTTCTTGATAAGCAATTATGACTTCTGTACCTATGTTCTTTGTGTTCCAATAGCTGACAGTCTCTACATGTCAGTCTATCACATGTTTCACAGAAAAGTTTCAACTGCTCTTGTTTGTGTACAGGGCAGAAAACAGGGCGTTGACCAGATGCTCCAACAGACTCTGTAGCAAAATAAAACATATATTTTTAAACTAAACAAAATTTTGTCTAACTTTCTAAATTCTTATCGATACTGGTATCCAAAGCTTACAAAGAATATGCAGATGTGCCATAGCGGCAGAGGGAGATTAATAATCATTAAAATCTCTTCTCTCTTACCTGAGACATCTTCTTTCTTCCTGATCAAGTGATCTTTAGTGAATTTCACTCTCTGATGTGCTTCAATACATGTCTTACAGAGCCACTCTCCACATTCTACACAAAAGCCAACTGCACTTGCATTGTCTTCACAGCTAGTGCATACCTAAGAGAGGAAAGAAATACTAAGCTACATTAGATTTACAAAATATAGATCCACAAAATAAAAAGGTGAAAACTGTCTAACTTGCTTCCAAATATACTAATTTATGTACCCAGAATAAAAAATTTTTATTATCCATTTATCTTTAATGAGATCTCTCCTTCCAGATCAGTCAGTGGATTAAAATCTAAGTCTCAGAACACAAAATCTATAAAAGATTTCAATTTTTCAGTGATCTTTTGTCTCACTGAGCCAGATGTGAGAGGGTGTAGAATAAAAATATTATTTATTTTCAATTTGAAAGCTGTACTATAGCAGAACTAGCCTAATTTATCTAACAACCCAAACATGCTTTTATAGTAATTTACATTTTGATATCAAGATAGAAATATAAAGAAAAATTGAGAAGCATACCTGTTCTGATTTCTCATCAGAACTGCTAGGAGCTTCAGATGTATCTTTCACAAAATAATTATCCACAAGGTCTATCTGTCTGCATTCTTGGCGGCATACTGGGCACCGTATCACACCAACTACAATACAAAATGTCAACATTAAGAAATATTTTTCAGAAAAAAATAAGGAAAACTGTGCATGTTGCCCATATGAAAACTACCCACTCAGTATGTCACTGACAAGACCAAAGAAATGAGCATTAAGAGCTGAGTAAAATAATCCACTGAATTATTCATTGGGAAAAAATGATATTCTATTTAGGAAGAGAGAAAAAAATAATATGCAAAAAAAGTTTAAAGCTGCATCTTTATGACACTGTGTTTTTCAAAAGATATCCAGGTCCTACTCCTTGGAAACCCTGTCAGTGTCACTTATCCAGCAAAGGGGCTTTGCCGCTGTGACTGAATTAAGACTCTGAGATGGAAATGCTGTCCTGGATTACTGGATTGGCCCTAAATGCCATCACAAGCGATCTCATCAGAGGAAGCAGAGGAAGATCAGATTACAAAAAAAGGAAAACCAACTGATAATGGGAGCTTTCGAGATGGAGCCACAAGCCACGAAATCCAGGTGACTTCAATAGCGGCCGAGAAACACAAAGACCCAGACCCTTTCCTCAGGCTCAGACTCTTTCTGGCGGGAAAGAGCCAGAGCTGCTGGCACAGACTCTGCAAGACACTCAGCAAAACTAAATTCAAACTCTTAGCCTCCAGACTAGTAAGAAAATAAAATGTGTTGTATTAAGGCCACAAGTTTATGGCAATTTTGTTACAGCAGCAACTGAAATATACAATCTGTCATCTTATAAATTCTGACTTAGTTCAGAACTACGTGAATTCATGTTAGTGTGGGAAGAAAGATCACCTGTCCCTTCACCTGCTATCGCTCTAGCATCTACAAAAACAGATAAGCCTGCTGAGGTAACAACAGATGCTAAAGTTAACAACTAAAATATAGCACCACAGTCAACGCAACAAACTGATTACTACCTATCAGCCATAAATTTGAGGATAGAGCATAAACGACACAATCCTTACTTTCAAGAGAGGATTCCAAGACTAGTATATAAAGTTTATTCGTTACACCATGCAGAGATAAGGAGAGATGAAATGATAAACAAGAAGAAAGCTAAGCCTAACCGGTTTGGCTCAGTGGATAGAGAGTCGGCTTGTGGGCTGAAAGGTCCCAGGTTCGATTCCGGTCAAGGGCATGTACCTTGGTTGCGGGCACATTCCCAGTAAGGGATGTGCAACAGGCAACTGATTGATGATTCTCTCTCATCGATGTTTCTAACTCTCTATCCCTCTCTGTAAAAAAAAAAAAAAAAAAAAAAAAAAAAGCTAAATAATTGAATGAGAAAATCCAGCATGTGTCAATCAGAAATTCCTAGAAGTTCATGAAGGAAAGGAGGCAGAGATGCTTTATAAAGGGATAATGAGCATGAATTTCAAAACTGAATAAATGAGTTCTCAAATGGCAACCCAATTCCTGAGCAGAATAATTAAAAATTAATCCACACCTAAACAAACCAAAGATGGAGCAAACAATCTTCATAACTGCTAATACTAGAAGACAATCAAGACTAACAACAGAACCACCTCACCAGTAAAGAAACAATGCTAAAAGATACCAAACTCTTCAAAGCTTTTAGCAAAAATAACAGCCAACCTAGCAACCTATTATATCCTGATAAAACTATTACTCAAGTGTAAAAGGAAATTAACTTTTCAGACATGTAACAGAACTACTTATTGTTGTAATAACTAGTGATTAAGGTGAACCACATAAATCTGCCAATAGACCAGTTCTGACCTGCAAATACAGCAGTTTTATACAGTTCAACCTAATCTATCTATACTAATAACAGAGGAATATTCAAATTGTCCAGGACTCCATCACAGTAATGACTGAACAGCAAGCTGTGTGGGGTGACCAGGCCAGCAAGGGGGGGTAGGGGGGCAGTTTGGGGCAATCAGACCAATGGGAAGAGTGGGGGGCAGTTCAGGGAGACCAGGCCAGCAGAGAAGTTGGGGGCAACCAGGCTGGCGGAGAGGGGGAGAGGGGTCAGTGAGGGGCAACCAGGCCGGCAGGCAGGTGACCAGTTAGGAGCCAGGGGTCCCAAATTGTGAGAAGGACCCCAGATTGGAGATGGTGCAGGCTGGGCGGAGGGGACCACTCCCCCCACCCCCACCCCGCACCCATGCACGAATTTCGTGCACCGGGCCTCTAGTATACATATAAAGACTAGTGACCAATGGTACATCCCTCCGACCGATACATATGACACACACTGGCAATTTAAAAATAAAACATTGATTCACACATGCACGATACATATAAAGCTCTTGCTGAAAAGAGTAAAAGGCTAAGTGACCGACCTGACACTTCTATTACAGAGAAAGGACAAATAGCGATATTAAATACTTCTAATTAATGTCCTTTCAATGTGCACAAATTCATGCACGAGGCCACTAGTATTTAAGAATGTGGGAAAATATTTAGAAGCGAAATTTCAAAAATAATTAACAAAGGCATCAATAATAAATATGCATGAGCTAAAAGTAAATATATATTAATTTAGGAAATAAAAAATACATGAAATTAAAATATCAAACTATAATCATCTATTCTAATTCAACTTCAGCTAGGAAAATAAAACTCTAACTACAATATGAAAAGGAAATTGAGATAAAAGGTAAAAATATGGTACCCTGACCCAGCTGGTGTTGCTCAGTGGTTGAGCAACAACTATACACTAGAAGTTTGTCAGCTTGGTTCCAGGTCAGGGTACAAACATGAGTTGTTGGTTCAATCCCCGGTTGGGACACATGGAAGGCAACCAATCACACTGATGTTTTTCTGTCTCACTTCCTCTCTCTAAGCATGTCCTTGGATCAAGATTAAAAATAATCAATTAAGATCTGGGGAAGATAACAGATCAACCCAAGGACTTGTATACATGCACGTAAGTACAACCAATGGACACAAAACTCTGGGGAGGGAGGGCATGTATGGGGAAGAGGGCAATGGTAAGATACGTACACAGATAATAATTTAATTTTTTTTAAAAAATAAGGAGGGGGGAATCAATAAAATATGTAAAAATAAATTTAAAAAAATATAAAAAATAAGGGGGGGGGAAAAGAAAAAAATAATAAATAAAAATAATCAATTAGCCAAAACCGGTTTGGCTCAGTGGATAGAGCATCAGCCTGCGGACCTAAAGGTCCCAGGTTCAAATCCAGCCAAGGGCACATGTCTTGGTTGCAGGCGCATTCCCAGTGGGGGGGCGTGCAGGAGGCAACTGATCAATGTTTCTGGCTATCTCCCTCCCTTCCTCTCTGTGAAAAATCAATAAAATATATTTTAAATAAATAAATAATCAATTAAGATAAAAAATAAGGTAAAACTCTGCCTTAACAAAATAAGTGAGGCTCCAAAATGCAACTGCATAAAATAGATTCCAGTTATTGGAAAGTAAAATAATTATAAAAACTTTCTTATCCAGGCAAACTAAGACGAACACAAACTAGACTGTGGTCTGATGCCAGGCGGAAGCTGTTGTTCTAAGGAATTCCAGGAATCTCTTATTGGTGGTGCCATTTCCCGATTCAGAAAATTGGCTCAGAAGACCACTGGGGCTCTGCCACCCACATCTCTTCCTGATGTCTCCCAGCCCAGCCCTGCTCTACCCAGCACTTCCGCCCTCGCTCCATAAGAATTTTAACCTGCCTATTTGAGAATGAGATAATCATGATCAAATTATATTTAAATCTGCATTAACACAAAGTTTTACTGTAAGGTCCATCAGTACTTATTGAGAAATTTATATGTATTTGTTCAGTGAGTCCTCAAACAGCTCTTAAAGTAAGTTCAATTACTATCACCATTTCAAAGGTGAGGAAATTAAGGTTCAGAGCTCAAGTAACAATCTCAAGATCACATGGCAATATAAACAGGAGTTGAGAGAAGGGCCAAGATCTGAAACCATGATGTCTGAATATACTCTTCCTCTTAAATCCTATGCTAAACTATCTCTCTAGTTACAAGGCTGGTTCATTAGTCACAAAATGTGTGCTGACCACAGGAGGCGGCACAGCGAGCAGTCAGCAGCTAGGGAAGGGAGGCCCCAGCCGGCCCTGAGTGCCCGCCAGGCTAGAGACCCCACTTGTGCACAAAATTTGTGCACCGGGCCTCTCGTATAATAATCATCTGAAGATTTTTGTAATACAAATTTATAATAAGAATTGCAAAATTCTTTGTGGTAGACATTTTACTTAACTGGGAGGATTTAATTAACTCACCATCAGAGCTTTTTCTCGCCTGGCTAACAAATAATCCACTCAGAAACTTACCTTGATTTCATTTTTTCACCTTTAAGAAATTCTGCTGTGATGAGATATTCCAATTTAAAATTTCTCACTTCTCTGTCCACTACTTTCCTTGAGTTGGGAGTACTACGACCCGTACTTACTATAGTGTTATCTACATGCTGTACTCTTTTAGCAGAGCTATAGTAAAAGTGTATAATAAACACTTAGCCAACTAACTCAAAAAGAAAATAACTCCCATTCCCCTGTGCCTTAAAAAGGTGCCATTTTTCTCTTCTCGTCTTGCTTTAAATGACAGGTATGCATTGATAATTAAAGTATTTTTGTAAATGTCATGCTATAGCCACACATATATGCTTATTAAGTTATTACTACAACACTGCAATTTGTAATGCACCAAAAAGCAGTGCAAAGCAATGAGTGCAGTCTTTATGAGTTATTCATTCTGCCATTGCAGCATGAAAGCAGTCATAGATAATACATAAAGAAATGGGCATAACTGTGTTCCAAAATGTTATTTATGAACAGAAATTTTAATTTCATGTAATTTTCACATCACAAAATATTCTTTTGATGTTTTTCAACCATTTAAAAATATAAAACTCATTCCTAGCACATGAGCCATATAAATCAAGACAGCAAGCTAGATCTAGCCCATGGCTCTCGGTTCCCAGCCCCTGATCTAAAGTGAAGTCCAACAGCTCTGGCAAGTGTGACTCTTGTTGGTTAATCATCATCTCATGCAC